ACTTTTGTTTGATTGATAGACTTAGAAAAACACGTGTCAGTTAAGCTTCGTAATAATAGAATAAGACTCAGTTTGTCTGTACGGCTATGGCCTTAAAACAATTCACCTATTCCTTACATGTAATTTCGAACTGAAAGCTTATACTCTCATTCAGTATGCTGTTCGGCCTTATCATAATACCAACTAAACCATAGTTACCATTGCAGATATGAAGACCAAGATGTTGTGGCCTCTGGTATGGTTGCAAGTCTCCTTTCGATTTATAGAAGTTGGTTGAGAATATACCGAGTCCACTGTCTCATGCTGCGAATCATGAAAACTACTATGGTAGACGACTTCGGACTAGGTGCGTTCTACTAAGTCGCCCTGACAACAAGACCAAGTTGCGCGAGGTCAACCCATTGCCATAGTTACCAGGTTTTCTTTTTTTGTGAGTTAGTAGGTTGTCGAAACTACCAGTTACCACGTTTATTTCGATTCTAATTATACAAAATCATCAATTCAGTTTCGTGTCGGCACACATGCACATACAGAATCCCATATATATATATATATATATATGTAAAAACACTTGGGTAAACATCAAAATGAACCAAACAAATCGTTCTGCATCTCAGAAAATTCTTTTTTCCCTACTAATAACAAGAAAGGATAGGCCGGCTATTTTCTTTCCCATGGCTTAAGCTTGAAACAATTAAAGAATGGAGGTTCAGCTTCGATGATGTGTGCAGTGAAAGCTCAGCACGTCTCCACCTGAAGGTATCTCGAGGACTGAGTTATCCTGAGCCTCACACCAAACCAAAGCGACAGCAGAAAAGAGGAAACCGCCATCGTCTTTCGGTGAAACCAACCTCCAATTTTACTCAACTCGCAACTAGGCTAAATGACTCCCTTCACCGATTGCCAGGTTCTTCCAGTGCATATTGAGTGATAGATGTTTAATTTGACCCATCTACAAAGTTGATGCTACCTTCCAGATCTTCCCTAGCCGAAGTCTCTTATTTTCCTGCATTACCGCTGTCCTTTAAAGTTATTGTGAGCTTAAATTAGGATATTTATTGTCCCTGTCAGGAGCTCGCCTTAGTTCATGCGGTTCAAGTGCCAAAGTATATTCTTTGTTGTGTGTAAAAAACGCAAGACCAGTACAGTGCATACTTCAATTAATACTATTTAAGTCTCATATGAAATGTAATCCCTCTGCTCATATTAATGCTGCAAATGCACTTTTTAGGCAACCTGAAGTTCATTTCCTGTACCTAAATGTGGTTCTTCCTCCATGCCTTATTGTACAGATTACAATTCTCTTGTTGATTGTGCGAACTCAAACTTCGGCTCCTTCCGCCAATGCTATGACAACTACAATCGTTCCAAAGATGCCGACCACTCAAAATGTTGGTGAGTTCAGACTCTTTTAAATATGTTGTAAATTATTACTTCATTAGTCAGACTTTGATCCCCATCTGGAAGTCACAGGCGTTCCGTCTTCTCAAGTGAAGTCGGATTGGTTTCTATGACTTGTCCCAACTGATATGATATGGAAATTCATTTTAAGGTTGTAAGGCTGGGGAAGTGCCGATGCTCAAGCCACAATCACGATAATGCACAACTATCAAATTTATTTTGTCTGAAAAAATACGGTAGTGTTGGCACTTTACTTCCTACTCTACTGTCCTTTTGCTTTGCATGTTCCCCTACAATTAACTTTTTTCACCTCTTTTCCTCCATCTCTCAACCCTTATCTTGTGCCATAATAGTTGGTCGCATAATCCATCAGTCTTCACTTCGCGAAAATCCTCCTTCATGTTCCGGTGAGACCAGTTCACAAACTTTTTCAAACCAATTTTATTATTCGAAATGGATAATCAAGAACACTCTTCCCGATTTTACAATATTCGCCACACACTGACACCCCCACACATACACAACACTAATGTGGTCCTTCTTCTGTAGTAGTTCAGCATTTGATTTTTATAAAGACTCTGCAAATTCTTGTGCTGCTGATGCATTTTGTTGTTTAGGTGATAGATGAGTTCAGTATGGAGCGGCGAAAGCTGATGTAGAAGGTGTGAATGCCAAGTTTAATCGACAGAATTGGGGCTTTCCGCATCAAAATGAATCAGGACTTGAGTTTGCAATAAAAACCCAGCAAAGATCGAGGATGCTGGTTTGGAAGATGTCCTCTTATCCATCCTTATCCACAGCTGTTACTGCCAGACAGCTTAGGGGCATCAAATTAGCCAAAAATAAAAGCCCAAATTTCGCAGGAATTTGTGTTCTCCTCAAGCCTGAAGTATCTAAATTTTAGGGTATGATTATGCACGAATGGCTCCAACCAGACTCGACCATACTGCCTCTCATTACATTATCCATTATAGGTATTTTCTGTAAAAGTGTTCACATTTAAGCCGATTAGATTTCAGAAGATTGAATAGAGCTGCATCTGCAAGGATAAAAAGCATTTTCAGCCGTTTAGCTTTACTACGACGTTCAGATTGACGCAATTCCCGAGAAATCCTTGCTCGTTTCGAGTGACAACGGGCTAAGCTTTCGTCTGTCATCGTCAGAGATGAAACTCATTCGTGCTAAGACTTTTAGTTACTACTATGTCAGGAAGGATATCTGTTATATATACTATATCGTTTCATATTTTTTTAATTAATTTTCGTTTGAAGCTGTGAGCGTATATAGCATGTAGATTAGAGCAGACAAAATCTTCTTTATTATTCTATGCATATTCACAATGAAAAAGGAAAATATACAGATAGATCTGGAAGAAAAATGAAGCAATAACTGACCAAAGCATTATACATACTTTTATCTTTATCTGTCTACGTTCGTTTAAAGTTGTAAGTGTGTATACTGCAAGTAGGGTAGTCTTCTTATGTGAGGTGTATTGATTCTGTTTCGTTTTAGGTGATAAGGGAACCAGTAGTTGAATTTTCCCACAATTACATGAGTAGACCTCACGTTCCCTTTGAATTTCACACAGCCTTGTCTTCCACAAACGTAATCTCCCACAGGCAAGGGTAGACTGTAGTTTCAACCTTGCCTGAACTGGTCCCATCTTCACCCTCAGCGGGACTTGAACCATGTCGACGTAAGATCTACTCATATGATTGTGGGAAAATTCAGTTGCCAGTCACTTTATCACCTTAAACGAAATAGGGTGAATACGCCTCATATAAATGATCTACAGGTAGACTCATAAACCTATTTCTAAACTAAAGGATAGTCTTTTTGACTTTGTGATACCTTGAAGCCAAGTAGCCTGACGAACGATGACTCAGCCTTTCTTCACTCGAAACTAGAGAGGATGACTCGTGGAATGCGTCAATCTGAGGGTCGAAGTAAAGCCAAAATGGGCGTCGTCTTCCGGTAGGATCGATCCATACAAAATCAAAGTATCTACAACATTATTTTTCGTTTTTTAGTAGGTTTACGAGACTACCAGTAGATCATTTGCATGAGGCGTATTCACCCTATTTCGTTTGAGGTGAGGCAGCTGAATTTTCCCACAATCATATGAGTAGATCTTACGTCTCCTTTGCTTTCCCAAAAGGTATTCTCATCTAGGTTGGACTGCAGTTTAGACCTCGCCTAGGTCTAATCAGCAAGGCTATGTGAAATTCAGTGGAAACGTCAGCTCTACTCATATCATTGTGTGAAAATTCAACTACCAGTCCTTCATCACATTCCACGAAATAGGGTGAATACAACTCATAGATGTGTCCAAAGAAATGTTATTTCAAGAGATTCATCCAAACCCAGTCAGTGAGTCTTCGTGTTCCGCACATTTTCTTGATCGTCCTTTTCTTGCAGGTCCATCGAGATGCTGCTGGCCTGCATTCAACGCCTGGTCGCCAGTCGATGCTCCGGCAAGCAGACTCCTCGCATTGCCCACCTCATCGCTTTGGCCGGACTGTCCACCCTTTGTTCAACGAAACCACATGTAGAGACGCCAGACGCTCGAGGGCTTGAGTCAGCCGCAAACCTCGGGCTGCCGGACCCTTCCACGAGGCAGCAGAACGAATGGCGTCATGTTTGGTGGGAAGGTCGGACTCCGGCGGTCAACCCGTCCTCGGTGGGGTCAGAACAACTGGGTCGACGGGAAGAGGCCTTCGTGACCGCCTCACACTCCATGCAGGTAAGGCAAGTCTATGGCTTGAGGCGAGTAGAGGGAGTGCGTATGTTGACCGCACCGGAAGCCGAAGGAGGACTGCCTCGGAGTTGTGATTGTGGATTTGTGCAAACCAGTCCTCGAATTACGGTCGACTTTCGTTCGTCATTTGACAGACATCATCGCAGCAGAACACTATGCTTTACTATGATTCACTAAGGCATGAAAACAATAAAGGTGGTCGGCGGCAATCCCATTCACATTTTATGGGGCAACGAGGATGGGTATCTTATGCTTTATATGAGACGAATTGACCCTGGTTCGTTTAAGTTAAAGGACTGTTTGTTGAAGAAGAGATTTGTTGGTAGATCTCATCGTATAAAAGCCAAACGGCTGCAGTACAACGAGATTCATCCGTCCTCATCCGGTGAGATCGACCACTTTCATGCGAAATGAAAGTCCTTCCCATGGGATTCATCGAAACCCAGTTTCTCTTCGTATCTATTTGGCGTTTTTCACCATCTTATTCCTAAGCGGTATTGCTACGTGGCTGACAATTAGAGGGGCACCCTAGTCTCCAAGTCTCTTCTGGGAGCTGGACGATAAAAGTCATGAGTTCCACTAGTTTCTTTACTGTCTGGTAAAACAAACTTCAAACCTTTTGAGACCACTTCCTCGATGGTAAGATACAATGCTGTTTGGCCAGATTTACCACCTTTTCACCAACTATACCTAGCTCCCTAAAGTCTACCCTTAACTTATTTTGATTATTTTTCGGAATTAAGTATTGTTCTCGTGACTACCAGTAAATCGGTAATATGAGATGTATTCACCCAATTTCGTTTAAGGTGATGAAGAAATGGTAGAAGAAGAATTTTCCCACAATGATATGAGTTGAGCTGACGTTTCCATTGCATTTCACATTGCCTTGCTTTCACAAAAGTTGTTCTCATCCAGGCTGGAGTGGACTGCATTTTCGACCTCGCATCGGTCTTATCAACAGCCTCAGCGGGAGTCGAACCGCGACAGTGCAGGATGGAGGCTTGACACGCTAACCACTCGGCTACACTGCC